CAGAAGCCACCCCTGTAGCCACCCACCAGCACCCTGCCCCTCGCTGCCAACACCTTGCCATGCGAAGTACCAAGTGGTTTTTTTCCTCCATGGGTTGCCATAGTACTAGTTTGTACAATTCCAACTCAACAGAAATCGTGTCTGTGGATGTTGTGTCTTGTCGTGTGTTGGTCCTGCATGACACCTCAGATCTCCTCAACATAGCACAGGCTAGAGCCTTGATGCTTTCTCCAGAGTCAGTCGTGCCCCTTGTTCACTACCCTAAACGTCATGACTGCTGGATGCTGCTGCGAAGGTATCTGTAGTCCCGCTCTCACCATTAAGCCATGGCAGTGTAGCGTGCAGCAGCAACCCTGCTTTTCATAGATCCATGCCTCATCAAGCCCTCGTTCTGTTATCCTGAGACTTTGTCTGATGACGGCTGGAGAAATTATGGAAGAACTGATTTTAGACAAGGTCTGATCCAGCAGTTGCTGCTTAGTCCCTGTAAAAATTGAACACTTCCCACCATTTACGAGGCAGATTGCTTTTGGGGGCCTTGTAAGAGAAGTGTAAAATATTTTCTGATGACGTCTGAAGTCGTAATGTATAAAAATATTTCTGAAGTGACTACGGGTATGTCTACCTTTGTAATGCACAAAAAGAAGATTTAAAGATATTGGAGTGCCTTCCAAGTCTAATTTTCAGTTGTGGTGATCCTTGTGTCTTAAAGATAGGGCCTTTCACATTCATTTTAGCCAGTTCAGAAAATGCCAGAAAACAAATGTGAACACATGTAAGTTGGAGTAAGGGTTGTAGATTGTGTCTCTCTGTTCTCTGAAAATCCATATCAAGGTCTTTACATGATTCTGACTTTTGAAATCGTTACTCTTGTGCTGTGTTACAGAAAGTAACTGCAGGTTAGTTAACCGTTCCTGTGTTTTGCCAGTACCGTGTGTGGTGGGTTCAGAACCGGGTTGACGTTAACACGCGACACATCCTCCTGTGCAGTAATGTGGCCTAATATGCAGAGTCCAAGTTTTTAATGATGTTGCTACAAAAATCCAAATTGCTGTTTTGTCCCAAATCCCAGATTTGAAAGGCAAATGGTGCAAAAATAGTTAACTTTTCATGCTTAGTTGACACAGTCAAGTAGTATTTTCAGTCTGTTTATCAGTGTTATGCAAATGATGGAACTTGTTCTTGAAAATTGAGATTAACCTTCTGAGTTCTCAGATGAAGACTGAGGAATTTGGTAACTAAGAAAATTGTTACCTCTGACTTTAGAAAGCGGTGTACTGACACTTGTTTTTCATGTTTTTAATGCAGATTTACCTTTGTTTCAGGTTATACCCCAGGCACCCCGTATAAAGTATCCTGTTCACCCACTAGTGGTGCAGTGCCACCATACTCCTCATCGCCGAATCCCTATCAGACTGCTGTGTACCCCGTTCGAAGTGCCTATCCACAGCAGAATCCGTATGCACAGGTAAATGAACAAAACCAAAGAGCTGCCTGGTTAGGTGGTATTCTGTTTGCCTCGTAATACCTGCTGGAACTCAGCTCTGCCTCACGCATGGAGAGAAGTTTTAGCTGTCTGCGGCAAGAGTTTTTCGTAGAGTTGTTTCCGGGGGGTCTGGGTGTGCAGTTTTTGTTCTCCATTGCGTGACAGTGACTCTGCACTCGGGGATGACGTGTTCGATCTCTGAAGAGACGGTAGATTCAGTAGTCTTAAAAACGTCTGCTGCACGCTCTAACTACTGCATCCTGATTTCGTTTGGTCAAAAACTGTCGTAAACTCGCGTCCATGTTGTTTAGGAACCCGCTGTTGTGATGCGCTCAGTCCCGCGCTGGGCAAGCTGTCAAACCCTGAGAAAGGGTAGAATTAAGCCAATTCAGTAAGCATGGTACTTTGGGGAAAAGTTGGTCCTCTTTTTGCATGGAGGAAACTTGCCTGGTGTGTACTCAGTAATTGAAGGGAATAAGCACGTAACGAGGTTTATCCAATCTGCTTAGTGTGTTTGGATTTGTCAAAAACCTTTTGGTTCTTTAACTAAAAGCAGCTAAATAAAAAGCTGTGAAAGAATGAGAAGTTCTGTCATGGGTTAGTATATGGAAAGATAGGAAATGATGACTGAGTCCTTGTTGTTGAAGGTGCAGTCAGCACTGAGGTTCTGCAAAGGTGCCTGCATTTGAATGTTATCCTAAATGCCTCAAAAAGGGGGCTAAATGTTAAAAAGTTGAGCAAGTGAAATGCAGTTAGAACAGTTAAAATGAGTGTTCTGCCTCCTGTAAACACATTGCGTCTTTAGAATAATGCTTTTGTTTCGTGATGCATTCATGAAGGATGACGTTGTTTATCTCCCCCACCAGATGCGCTGTAATTACCTAACGCGCTCTTTTCCTCTAACAGCAGGGCACTTACTACACACAGCCTTTATATGCAGCACCACCCCACGTAATTCACCACACCACGGTTGTGCAGCCCAACGGCATGCCAGCGACTATGTATCCTGCTCCCATTCCACCGCCGAGAGGGAACGGTGTGACTATGGGGATGGTGGCTGGGACTACTATGGCAATGTCAGCAGGTACGTGAACTACAGCCCTTGTGCTTTCTGGAGACTGTCTCCTTCCTGCACCTGCGTTACACATGTGATGCCAGAGGTGTGCTTGGCAGAGTCAGCAAACTGCTGAGGTTAGAAGGGCCTCCTGTAGGTCACCCAGCCCAGGTGTGTCCTGCTAGATCAGGCTGTGTACTTGTTCAGTGACAGTCTGATCATCCCTGAGGGTGGAGATAGCGCGTCCTCTTTTTCAGATGGTAGTGTTATGGTGAAACAGTTCTGTATGGAATTTTACTTACTCTTACATCCTTTGCTTCTCATCAGTGTCAAGAGTCTGACTTCCTCTTCACAATATGTTTTTCTACGCCTAGTTGAAAACCACCTCCTCTTAAGGTTGAGGAAAAGGCAGTGTTCTCGGCCCACTCCTCGTATCACTGACCTTTTTTGTTTGTTGAGATACAACCCTTTGTGCCCGCACTACCTGCAGGCCACCTGTGCGTTAGTGCCTAGTTCCTAACGCCACACGCTTCCTGGTAGTGTCTTGGAGAAAATGTTGCCTGACCAACCTAGACTCGTCTGAGTGTCTGCTGAGGGGCTGTCAGGCTTTGTTACTCAGTGGGTGGTGAGAACAGAAGTCCCCGTTCACTGAAAGGATGCTCAGTTCCGTGAGAGCCCTATACTTGTTTCCAGATTCTGGTTTTTATCTTGTTGTTTAACTTGGGGAATCTCAGAACTGCAGCAGCTGTGTCACAGACCGAGCTAGCGTTTGAATTTCACGTGGGGGCGGGTTATCCCAGTGTTTATTACTGTTTCTACAAAGCACTGTAAAGTAAGACAGCAAAGACCCTGCTGTCTCAGCCTGTTTGGTTCTGAAGGCCCTGAATTTCTAAAAACCTATTTGGAGTAATGTAACAACTGATTTGATCTGATTTATCAGTCAGGCCCTCTCTACCACTGAATGTCCTCACAGCGTGTAAAGCCGGCTGTGAGCAAGCTTTGCAGGGCGTAATGCTTATGGCGCAGGGTTTCTGCTGGAGCTGTTTGTGAGTAATGAGTATCTGTGTGTGCGTTGGCCTACACGTCAAAGTGATCCTCTTGTGTGAAGGAAGGCTGGGGCTGGAGTGCAAAATGATACTGGTACTCTTCAGTTGGAAGATGAGCCAGCTGTGATTGTTACTTAAAATTAACTTTCTCCTCTTTTTTTTTCTGTACTGGAACTTGTGCTTACTGGAAAAAATGTTCTCTTCATCCTAGGTACTTTGTTGACAACTCATTCCCCAACTCCGGTAGCCCCTCATCCAGTTACTATGCCCACGTATCGGGCCCCAGGAACACCAACCTATAGTTATGTGCCCCCGCAGTGGTGATCATCCTGGCAGTCAGTGTAAGTTACCAGTTCTCGTTGAAAGCCGTTGGTCGTTTCGTGTAAGTGACAGCATTGCAGGCTCTTTTGGGGAGATTTTTCAGAAGGTAAACAGTCCGGGGTACTTCTGCAGTATTCCAGTTGAGTAGGAATGCACAGAAGTTACTGCTTATATGCTTGCTGTTCTTTGCAAAGGAGAGAAGCCTGGTGGGGCTGCTTCAGTGGTCTGTATCTGCAGAATCATGAAAGGTTTCCACATTCATGACTGAGTACGAAGGAGTGAGCCTCAAGTTTGCCCTGTCAAAATACCTGTGGGACTAAGTGTAGTCAGTATTTTGGATTCGTTAGTAACTGTTGAATTCAGCAATCCAACAGGTCGTGAATGAAGCAGTGTGTGTAACTTTGTGGTGTTATTTGATTGGCTAAATGTGTGGGCAGGGTCAGTGATTTGCCCTGCTCTGAGGGTGACTCCTAGTTGTTGTTGAAACAAGTACACAAACTTGGGTGAATTTCATACATTCGCACTGTTTCAGGTGAGTCTCAGTTCATTCTTCCTGCAGTCAGCATGGAAAGATCGTTTCTAGGTTTTCGTGGGTTTCAGGAAAAGGAGTTTAATTTTGAAATCTGCTATAAGGTGGGATGGCTTTGGGGGTATCGCATGTCAAACTGTTCCAATGTCTGATGTTTTTGGGATCTTCACATCTGCATAAATGGAGAACTGCTTCATTTGAATTAAGGACTTGTCAGAGCAACTGAACCAGAGTTTCTCACTTTCAGTCCATTTAGTTTATGACAAAGGTAACTTCGTTTTAACTGTCTTTGGGTATCTGCTTCAGCAGTTAGTCCAGAGTTCTGTGCCTGCAGGTGACTGCGCTCCCCCTGAGTTAGTAATGCAGCGGCTGTCTCTGGTGTTGTGGTGACGGTACATCGCAGTCCACAGGTCTGCACTGTCTCACACACAGGGTTTCCTCCTGGGCTGTCCTATTACACTGGTGTAAGAAGAGAGTGGTGCTGTGCCCAAACTCATCACTGCTCATACAAAGGCGTTTTATGCGAAGTTTAGTTAATATTCTACCTTCTACTTAAGGCAGAACTGCTAGTGATGACAAGGCTGGAATGGGCGTGACAGGAGAAAATCAGTGCAGTGCATTCTTAACCAAAAGCCTGTGGATTTCAGTTGACTGGACAAGCATCACACAGAACCCACCATCAGCTGTGCGGGCATATCGCTGTGGTGCATGCGGTGTTAGAATGCGCTGCCACACGGAAATGGTATTTCACGTGATTGAGACTATTTCCTGCTTTCTTACCCCTCTTAATGTAGGTTTGAAGATGGGAGATATGCAATCAAGAAATTGAGGTTTAAAAGTTGGTGCTGAAGCCCTCATGCCTCCAACCAGGACTCTTCTTCTGAATGCTTTCAACACTTGGCTAAACACTACTAATTCCTGATCACTGAAGATTTTCCAGTGCTGCATATCTTACATCTTGGAACTCCAGCAGTTAGTCTTAAAGCAAAATCTGTTTTGTGGACTGTCTTGCAATTTTTTAGCTAATTATAATGATAAAAAGGGAGTATAAATTTATTCTGATCCATATCTAGTTGAGTGCATGTTAAAACACAAAAACAAAGCTTGCTCAATCTACCTGCAGTGACTGATGCAAAAACCATCATATGCAAATCCAAAGGAACCGAGGAGTATTTCACAACTTGTATCACTAATGCACTGTTGTAACGTATGCAGGGTCTGAAAAGGTAGAGTCGTGACAGTGAGTTCCTTCACAGAACACCGTGCTATACATTAGAAAAGAGCTCCGGCCTTTGTCAGGGTGATGGAGTTGCCAGTTCAAAAGGGGCATATTTTTATTTAAGTGATGTATTCTGTTCAAATTCAACCGCTAAATTGGAGCGACTGGAGGAGGAGTCAGACGAGCTGTAGAAATCCCACACACCGTTAGTTTCCTTCATACCTTTTCATGTTCATTATATAGAGTCAGTGTTCCGCAGATGTTCTTAAGGATCAGAATGAAACGACAGCGGTCATGCCGTGTGTGCCAGCAAACAAAACAGCCTTCCTTGAGGCAGAGCTGGCTGTTAGGAATAGTAGGAGGTGACATCACCTGCGCAATGAATTGCATGTCCTGGGGAGATGGATATCCAGTACTGTCTGTCATGTGATGCAAGATGTGTCACAGTGAGACTGCCACACAGACTGATAGACAAACGCTTCCTTTTAGTTCTCAGTTCAGGAAATCTGTGCTGTTTTTCCTAAAGAATGTTGTAGTCAGTTGAAAATGTATGTGCAGTTGATCCAGCTTGCTTTCCTGAAACTTAAGGAATGCTAGGGCTTTCTACAACAAACGGGAGAAGTTCGGCTGCATGCTCTTTGGAGGAAAGCTTGTGTGCCTGATGAGTATGTTAAAAGGGAACAAACCATTTTAACACAAATTCCTTACTAGCTACCTGCAGTATGGACTGTGGATGGGCTCTAGTAGGGCTGCCAGAATGCAGAGGTTTCTGATAGCCGTTGCTTTGGTTCTTGTTTTCCTGAGAATATTTGTGACTGAAGCAGGAGCCATCTGTCGGTTACAGAATTCGATGTGTTTTCATAGTATTTTCTTTTTTATACTTCCTAAATTGCACTTGGAAGCATGTAAAATAGACTGACTGCAGATCAGCATTTCATTGCAATGAGTCACTTCGGATGTTCTTTCTTGCAACTTCAATTTTTAAAAAGTACCTCAAAGCGAACGCTGCGGGGATAAAGGGCTAGCCTTGGAACCCATTTGTATACCCAAATTGTTACCAGGGAGATTTTAAATTTTTTTAGTTTGAATATTGCACAGAAAAATCAAGGGTTTTCCTAAACCCGCTTGACTTACAATTCCGGAAAGATGCGATTTTCTGTTTTTTGGATACATTCTGCCTGCAATAAATTATTCAGTAAATGGTTATGAAATGTTGTTCCCTTTTAAGTGTTTACACGGAGGTATATCAGGCTGTGTTGTTCTTGTAGGTTAACTTCCGTTCAGAAATAAATCCAAGTTGTGTATCTAGTTGCGCTTCGTTTCGGGGTGTTCTGCTCCTGTACAGCCTTGGCAGCTACTTCAGGGTGGCATCAGCGCTGACTTAATGCTGCCATTCCTGTACTCTGCCCTGGTGGGAGGCTTACAGACCTTCATAACCCGTTGGTGGTTAGAGCCTTCAGGAACTTTATTTTTTACAGTAAGCACTCTCCATATTTTGTACTTCCTTTTTTTGTTTGTTTGTTTAATAAATTTAGGTTTATTTTTCATGAATCACTGTCAGTGGATGGCCCCCTTATTTCTAATGCCTCGAACGTGACTGTGTTGGAATAAGTACTTTCAACCTTACTCATGAGCACTTACTGCAGCCTAGGGATTTCCACGTTACGCGGAGCGGCAAACGGCCCCGGCCAGACGTCTGTGACCCTGTACCGCCTGGTTGGAGTCTGTTTAACGATGCCGCTTGTAGCAGACTTGCAGCTTAGGTTGGTCGGGTGTGCCGCGGAGCGCGGTGAACATCAGCGCCGGCCGCGTGTCCGCTTCCGCTAGTAGCCTGGCGCTTTGTTGTCTTAGCGTGGTTTTGACAACGAGCTGAGGTTTGAAACGGCGCGGTGTCGGGGAGAGGCTGTAAAGAACAAGCTCAAAGCTTTGCTGTCTCCTGTCTCATCACCCAGTGAACCAGAGCTTTGAAAATCATAGGAGAGAACTTTCATGAATGCTGCAATAGATAAAGAGCTAAGGAATTAATGTAACTCCTATATACTTGCTCTAACTTCAGATTCCTAAATGTCATCTTGGAATTGGTCTCTCTGTAATATTCCGTAACATTTAGGCAGTCTCACTTGAGCACTTTTTTTTTCTAAGTTGCATTATGGGATTCATCCACGAGGGGGAAACTGTACCTTTTTTAAAAGGTACTACACCTTCCAGGTTTGATTGGTAATCTGCTGGGAGGGTGGAGCATGTCTCCAGTAGTTGATAGGGAAAGTAACCAAAAGCACAGTGCAGGGGGACGGGGGGAATATGTGTATATATAACTATCTTAATGGTATTTTGTTGCAAATAGTAGAAAGCATGGATATGAAACTGCAGCGGGGAAACTGTACATCGTCGAATAGGCGTTTACACAGCGAGGGTCTTACAAAACATTCTCTCCTGCTTTTTATATAACATTCCCTATTTAGAATTCCTTTATAAATAAATACGCAGTATGTGTTTGCACTAGAGCTCCTCAGCAAATGAAAAGAGCTGGTGCAGTAGAGACATTTCAGATCAAGCTTCTCTTTAAAAAAAAAAAAAAACCCAAAAAAACCCCACCCAAACAGAAACCTTTTATGGCAGCTTTATACGATTAAAAAGAAGTACTACTTTAAACCTGGAACTGAAAACAACTGTTGCAGCAATAACAAAGAGAAGTCCAAGAAAGAATCTTTCGTTTTAATTCAAATTTCAGGTGTTGAGTTTAAAGTATTTTTTAAAGAACTGAGGTATTCCCTATGTCAGTAACAACCGACGAAAATGTCGTTTAAATGTAGCAGCAGCAAAAGAGGAAGGGCTACTAATTGGCACCGAAACCGTGTAGCCCTAGTCAGTGGCGTGGTGATTATGAACAAAACACTAGGAAGGGATAACGGAGAACCTACTACTAGATCTTGCTTATGCTTGTTGTAACTATCTCCTGTTTGACGTTT